TATACACATTCATTCCACATGTTCTTATAAACTCATAACTTCTTTTACATGTACATGTAATCAGGTAGCTTCTTTTCACGTAGTTCATGTCACTTTTCATATCATCATTTATCAAATACATAATCTCTATCATATATAAATTTCTTCACTTATCTCATAGTTATGTATCATATTACATAATTTAACTTATATCATATTATCATGTGTGCATATATCATGGACACTTAACATGTATCATATAAACATTTATTCACTCGTATCATTAACATTTGTAACAATCAATAACACACACACATAACATATCAAACATATGCTCATATTAATGAATTCATGCATTCTACTGTAGGAAATAGACTTGTCACAAGTCTTATTTCCATTAAACATAATACACTATCTAATGTGCACTCACCTTGGCCTCACTACGTTCCAATACATTTTATGATTTTCCTCTCTTTCGTTCGAATCTTAACTTGCCAATCGACCCAAACTTGTTCGTGCTCGATATCCATATAATCATACATTGATACATATCAGTATCTAATTGATATACACTAATTTATCATTTCTTAGACCAAAAGAAATGTCTATTTCAATTTCCCCTTGAAGTGCATCGATGCATTCTTTAACATGTGCATCGATGCACTACCCATGCATCGATACACAAATTACCTTCGATGTTTTCATTTTTAAAGGGATGCATCGATGCACCAATTGCATTTGATGTTTCTTCTTTAAAGAGTGCATCGATGCACCTTGCTCAGAATTTGCATTTTAAGCCCGAAAATCCATTTAATTCAACTCAAATGCTTCATATTTCATCCCATTTCATATTCCTAACTTACATATACATATTTGCACTCATTTTTACTCAATAATCACTTCTTTAACCTCCATATCCTATTCTCCTTAAGAAATTCAAGAATCATACCTAAATTTTAACATGTTACAAATCCAATTCTAACACTTCATACATGTTAATTAGATAGTGACAAGTCAAATTCACTCTAAAACCTCATTAAAGAACCCTCTTTCAAGATTTCACTTATTCCTCTCTTTTCTTTAATTCCCTTTATTCTCTTCATCTTATTGTTTCAAGATAATTTAAGCTCTTCTTATGCTTAATTATCACCTAATAATCAAAACTCAACCTTAAATTTCAGCTAATAATCAACAACAAGAAATCTTACCTTTGCTTGAGCTCTCACGTGGAGGAAGAAGAAGAAGGGAGAAGAGTTTTCCAGATAACTCTCCTCACAAGCTTATCTCTTAATAAAGAGATAAGATAATTATCTTGAGATAACAAAGACCATTTTGCCCTTAATCTCCTTTAATAATTACTAATAACTTTCAGGAAATATCTCCACATAAATCATTGAACTATTCAACTTTTCTACTTTTATCCCCAAATTCTAAAATTTTACAATTTAGTCACTAACCCGGTATTGAGGATGTTACAATTTAACAGCATGAAGATTTCAAACGGTACAAATTGGACTACAAGGCAATAACATAGACCCGAAATCCCTTCGATGCTACATATCGTAATTGATATTATTGCTAAACCACCATTCAAAATTTTAATGTACCTAAAGTCTACTCCATAACTAAAGGTCACACAAGAACTATGAAAACAAAAGTTCATTGTCAAAGTGTATTTTCTACTTATTAATGGGTTCTTCCTGGAAAACCCATTACTTCCGCTATTACACTCATTTTCAGAAATTGCATAGAAACATTTGTTTTGTTTTCAGGCAAATTCTATTATATTTTTCTCTTTACTGATGCTTATATACTTCAAATTGTTACCTTTATCTTCTCATCTATTTCTAGAAAGAAGTATGATGTTTTCTTGAGTTTTATATGTGAAGATACCCGCAATAACTTTACATATCAACTATTAAGCCAAATAAAACAGAGAAAGAGATTAAATCAGACCTGTAAACTTCAGATTGCACTATAATATAACTTGTTTTGAAGCTTTCAGCAATCGTCTCCATTCTCCAGTAAACATTAGGGTTTGGGGAAAAAGGAGGAAAATGAATATAGGTGCGAGATGCCTCACGGGTTAACATATTGGATTTAATCTCTAAATAAAATTGGGTTAATTATGGAGTTGGTCATCAGAATATCAGATTAATTAATATTTTTAAGATACTTACAAATTGGTCACCAAAATTGATTTAAGAAGATTGGGTTAAACATAAATGAATGAACATAAACGAACATAACCGAACGAACATAAACGAACATAACCGAACGAACATAAATGAACATAACCGAACGTTCACGAACGTAAATGAACGAACGAGACCTATGTTCATGTTCGTTCATTTAATTAAACGAACACAAAATCTTGTTCATGTTCGTTCATTTAATAAATTAGCGAACATAAACGAACTTCCCGCCGCACGGTTCATGAACGGTTCGTTGAACGTTCAGTTCATTTACAGGCCTATTATTCTACATTAAAATATGACTCAAACACACTTTGTTTAGTTATCATATTAAGTGTCTTGACTGTAACGACCATTAAAAAACTTCATTAAGTGGCCAAAGTCATTCCCGGCAAGTCCAACGGCAACTGAGGAATGACGTCATTGTTGACAGTGATGGAGACAAGCCCCAACAATACTCCGATCACCATCACAGCACCACTCATTGTTGATTTATCTTCTTCTCCTATGTGTCCCTCTCCCTTTCTTTCTCCAATTCGTATCATTGCGGCACCACTCATCAGCAACCATTGTGTCATCGAAACCCACCCATCAGTCGTCAGGTTTCACTTTCGGCCACCCTTTACCGCCGTCCAAATAAGAAATTAGGGTTTTGAGCTTTGGAATTAGTGTTTTATGAATTATGGGGTATTTTTATAAAATAGAAAAGTTTAGGGTTTTTTATAAATAAAATAATTTTTTTAAGTTTTTTAAATAATTTTTTTAAAGTTACAGGAATATGACACGTGTCACTTAACGGTTTTTTTAACGTCATTACGATTGAGACACTTAAATTGGTAACGTTTGTAACGTTAGGCACCTAAACAAGAGAAAACAACATAAGAAATTTGTAAATAGTTTATGGTGATTATAAGTTAGTATATGTTCATATTCTTTCTTCTTAATCATTAACAATACACAATTCTGCAGACGCAACTGCTCAAACTTAGGATATCAAGAGAAAACAACATTCTCATTAATTACTTAGATCACTCAATAAATTTAAAAAATGCAACACCTCTCTATTTACCTCAGCGGTTAAAGGAATCATTGTTTCCTAAAAGTTACAAGTTCGAGCACCAGCGACTGCAAGGGTGATTGAGCTTTTATTATCAAATGATTAAGAGTACTTAGAACATATACTACTTCGTAATCACCTTTAGTTTAATAAAAAAAATTAATAATCATCCGGGAAAAAAACTTTTGATGGTCATGATTTAACTTTTGTTTGTTATTGCTTTAAAGTTATAGATGTCTGGTTTGCAGCCTTTTTAACTTTCTTTCCCACCATAACCGATTATCCGATTTTAACTTGTTTTCTTAACTACGCATATGGGTCCCCTTATTATTTATAAAAAAATTAATACTATAATCTAAAATTTTGAATTGATAACATGTAAATTAATAAATTTCTTTGAATAGTTAAATATGATTATAAAATAATATTTATTCATAATTTTATCTAGTCACTAATAACGCGCACATATCATTTATAAACGTAACTATTTAAACTTAAAATATTAAGAGATAGTAATATTCTCATTAACTATTTAGACTACTAAATAAGTCCTTGTGTAAATGATAAATAAAATGTCTATTATTAAGCTCAATGACATACTGTTATGAAACAATATATTGACTTGTGCTCTTTAAAAGGTACACTTCGTGCGGCTGATTGATTTCCCAAAAGAAAAGTTTATATTTTTCAAGAGAACGCGTAAAATCAATTATTATTTATCTTTGTTTAACGCGGAAATGTAAATGATTCGGTCCATATATGTTTATTTGTTGTGTCTTTATGGTAAAACAATGCTTTATATCTCAACCACACAATTGATCAATTAGTTAAAATTAATCATTTGCATCTCAATCATTTCACCGATTCTAGGGTTTAAGGGTGAAGTATAAAATTATACATCGATTATAGGGTATTGTTTTATTGAATTTCCTTACTATTAAAAGTTATAAAATGACTCTTCGACTATATTGAGTCGCTTTGTTGAGTCTCGCAACTAATAAAAGTTATAAAATGGTCACTCAATTATTCATATGTTCCAAACTCATCCCTTTTCGCTAAAAAAATTGACAGCAATATGAGTTGGATTTTAACCTGCTGACTGAGATATGTTAAAATCTGATTCTAAAATCTCAAACGATTATCATATATCAGTCAACATGTTAACGTCCAGCTTAGAAGACCGTCATTTTTTATTGAAAAAAGACGAGTCTAAAATATATGAATAGTCGAGTGACCATTTTGTAACTTTTAATAGTTGAGGAACCCAATAAAATAACGTCATATAATCAAAGGAACATTTTATAACATTTAATATTTTGAAAACTCGACAAAGCAGTGTCCTATAGTTGGAGGACCAATTTGTGTACTTTACCCAAAGTTTAATCACTTCAATTTATTTTCAACGTAAAATTGTACGATTGTGACCTTTCAAAGGAAAATGATGCCACTACTTTCACACTACAAAGTCAATGTCGATCAATTTTCTAAAGTTTAATCACTTTTATGTATTTTTTTTATTTCATTTGCTACAAGAATGAAATTTATTTTTCAACATGTAATAAGTAATATTTTTAAATGGGCCTAAGCCCCCTTGATTTAAATGGGAAAATTTCATTCTGATCCTTTAAATATTTTACATTTCAATTTTAGATTTTTACTGTAAATTTTGTGTCTTTGCCCCGAGAATTTTAAATCAACTTTGAAATATCAAAAGAAAAATATGTAATAAGTAATATTTTTTTAAGGAAAGAGATTAAAAACTTAAAAGACTATAAAAGAAGTCCATACCAGTTATCTATTACTGAATCAGCATCTGCGATTAGTTGCCAAGGCAAGTCCCATAAGAGTGATCTATTCTCAGTTCTGTCTTGTTCCATTATTGTACCTGCAACATCCGATGTTGTTGTTGTCAGATCAATCATGTTTTCACTATTGTAAAGCATCATCCTTTCCCCATTGAAACCCAGATTTTGGCCACCATTGTCAACAGTTTCCCCAATGCTGTTGTTCCCAATCCCATAGCCAAAACCCTGAAAATCGTTGAAGTTTCCATGGAATACAGGGTTGGCAACTGAACCTGCAACATTAAGGTAAGGGTTTCCAATAATGGAGAGGTGGTCTGCATCATCATGATGGTTGGTATTGGGAGTCAATGTTTGATCTTGGGTGGTCTTTGATGATGATGATCTCTTGGTTTTCCGACAGCCGCTGCCCACCGGAACATTCCTGAATGTTCCTCCTTTGGTCCAATACCTCCTACATGACTTGCAAAAGTACCTCGGCTGAGACAAGCTGTAGTTATTGTAATAACAAAACTTCGTGTCGGTTGAATCACATCTTGGACACTTGACGACTGCCTCTTCTGGTTGTTGTGCCCTTGCTTTTCTTTCTTCTTGTCCTTTTGAAGGGTTTACCGTCTCCTGCAAACCACAAACAAACATTTTTCTCGAAACAATTACAGGAATTTAGGGTTTCCCATCCAACTATAGCAGAAATTCTAAAACCCTAAACCTTAAATTAAAAGAAGAAAGAAACACAAAGCTGCACAATTTGATGCCTTAGGGTTTGTTCTATGCGAAAAAAGAAGAAACATTTATTACCTGGTGTTGTCCTGGTGAAGGATCCATGCATGCAACGAAACAAAAGAAAGCAAACTTCAAGAAAGAAAGGAGGATAAGGGACAATTTAGGTCTAAGGGAGGACTATAATAGCCTCATCAATATATATAGCCCTCCTCAAGGGCACCTATAAGAGGTATTTATTATAGATTTGGCCGACTCAAAGACACCTAGGTCAAAGCAATTAATTTTGTATAGATTATAAAAGATTATATTTTATTGGAATCTAGATTCTGTATTGAATTAATATTAATGACTTTCCTTAAAGAAACCATACCATAATTAATTACAAAATCTTTCTTCAATATCCACAATCAACCATTAAGAAATATTTCATTACTCTACTGATATTTAGATTTAAAAATATCCATAGCCATAGAGCTATATAAGTATATCTATGGGTTTATTTAGGCCAATTTTTTTATATCTAAATTCGATTTAAAAATTAAACCTCTTTATAGGTATATCTAATTTGATTTTTAAAGTTAAAATTTATATTCGAATCGATTTATATATTTTTTTATTAGGTAAAATAAAGATATAATTGAAAAAATAATATAGAAATAAATATTATTGTAACTATTTTTAAATATAAGAGATGATTATAAGACTTAAAAAATGTCAACCTCATTATCCAAATAATGGATAATTCAAAATAAATGATCATATATTTAAGAGGAGAGTGTGAGGGAAATTGGAAATGGATAATTCTCCTCAAGGTTAAAGAAGGATCCAAATAATTTAGGGTAAATTATATATTTAGTTATCCAACTATTCTTGTGGTACTATTTTGATCACCCAACTATTAGTTTTTTCAAAATCATATCTAAAGTTATGTGTTGGTCACCCGTCGTAAAAAAAATCAAAGGTGATGATGACATATCACAGTAAGTCAAAGTAATATCATCATTTAAAAAAAATAAAAAAAATTATCATGTTAGCAATTCTGTTAAATTTTTAACTGCTAGTGATCAAAACGAAACTTTATATATGATTTTGAAAAAGTTAATAGTTGAGTGATAAAAAAAGGAACCACATGAATAGTTGGTGACTAAATACATAGTTAACCCGATAATTTTTAACAAAGCCATGTTTTAAAAGATGAACGAAGCAATAGTTCATGTACTAAACATTAAGTTTATCCCAAAATTGACACAATCATCAATTCATACCAAAATTGAATATATCCAATTAAACACTAAATGAAATGAAACCTTAAATTAAAAAGGATTTATGGATTAACCTTAAACGAGTCTAAAAATAATGATAAATCCTCTAATAGATTTCTAAACATAAGAAATTTGTACATGAATTTGAAAATAATATTTAGAAAACTCTAATTTGAAATCCTTAAGTTTAGGGTTTTGGGATAAAAAAATCTAACTTAAATATGAATTAATACCTACTAAATTGAAGCTTTAGGAGAACACCACTCAAATTCAAGTTTGGAATCGAGTTATAATGGATAATTCAAAATAAAATGATCATGTATCTGAGAGGAGAGTGTATGGACATGGAGAATTCTCCCCAAGGTCAAAGAAGAATTACCCAACTATTCTCGTGGTTCCATTTTGGTTACTCAACTATTTTTTCTTTCAAAAACATACATAAAGTTACGTTTTGATCACCCGTTGTTAAAAAATTAACAGTGATGATGATATGTCACCATAAGTCAATGTCACATCATTGTTGATAAAATAAAAATTTATCACATCAACAGTTCTGTTAATTTTTTAACGGCGAGTGACCGAACAGAACTTTAGGTATGATTTAAAAAAAATAGTTGAGTGACCAAAACGAAACTTTTGGTATGTTTTTGAAAAAAATAATAGTTGAGTGACTATAAAGGAATCGTAAGAATAGTTGGTGGCTAAATACGTAATTAACCCAATAATTTATAACAAAGACTTATTTTAAAAGATGAAAGAAGTATATAGACAAATTATAGAATCGGATCGATTTATTTATTTTAGGTGCCTAAAATATTTCTCGCTCAAAGTAAGTGTCTAATATTTTCGACGTTAATCTTTTAAGTTCTTACATCATAACGATCGTTAAACAATTATTTTTTAAAATGTGTCACATTTATTTATTTATTTATTTTGAATTTTTTATTTTAAAAACTTAAAAACATTATTATATTTTGGTACATGTTATATCATCACTTATGTGGTGATATGACATGTACCACGTCAACAATTTGACATACGTGGTAATATCACGTCAATAACATACGTCGACTATTAATTAAATAACGGTTTTACCTAATAAAGGTCATTTTGACTAAAAATTAAAATATTAAGGGATAAAGTGTTTAAATATATATATATATATTAAAATGATTATTCGGACAAACATTGAATGCTAATTTTCACATTATCTCTCTATAGAATGGACCGATTATAGAGAAAATGTAGAAATTGGACAGAACAAACCAACTCGATAAAAATAAATTATTGATACGATTGTTTAAACAGTTAAACTTAAACATTTGAAAAACGATCATAATCGATAAAAAGTCTAAAAATAAAACAAATCAGAAAAAATATTTGTTTCTGTTCATGTTCATATTCAAAAATATACTTCTTAAATTTTTCTTATTTTTGAGAATTTAATTATTATTAATTTATATTTTTTGATTTCTTATTAACCATCAATATTTGATCTATTAATAAACTATTTCGGATCGAGTACTACAAAGGTCTATTACAGAGATCTAATGCATCATCTCACTAAATCAATTAATCATCAATTATATATTTTCTGATTTTTAAATTGATTAACTTGTTTATTTAATTAATTGAATTAAAAATAAAGTACTAAAATATTATATAATTAAATGATAACATGTATGTAATTGTTCATGAATGAAGGATGATTATTTTCTAAAAATGATTTGGTAGTTGAACTCAAATAAAAAATATTTCACATGAAGTAATTGTTTTATAACATCTATTTTCATTTATAATCTATAGTTTATATCTAATGTGGGATTAAATTGGTCTCACGCGTAAATTAAACTTGAATTTAATTATAAAAATATTAATTTTTAAACTGATAATAATTTAATAAATATAATTATAATGCTACTTGTTTTTTTTTCTTGTTTTTTAAACAATCTTTGACCTATATTATTCAAATTATTAATGAACACAATAAAGTAATGTTAATATGTCACCGTATGGTAATATCACATCATCATTGAAAAAATAAAAAAAAAATATAATGTTAGTAGATCTATTATTTTTTTAACGATAGAGATACTAAATTGAAAGTTAAACTAAACGTTAGGTATAATTTTAAAGAAAATAAAGTTTAGACGTAAAAATGGAACAAAAATAATAGTTTATATACTAAACATGTAGTTTACCCAATTTGAAAAATACATCCATGCAAGTGAAAATCTCTTCCCTTAGTGAGTTCCACCGCCTTTCTCCGCCAGCACATGGCTTTAATTTTCTATTTAACGGTCACATTATTTCATTCTTTGTGTTTAAATACTTTGAATCCCCTCTTAGCTTTCAATCTGCTCCCTTTTTTGTTTCTTGATTTTGCAGTTAATCTCTCTCTCTCTCTATTTCTCGCAGCCATGACATTTCCATCACAGCTTTCCCTCAAACAACTTCAAGGTTTTCACAACATCGATCGCATTGCTTATTCTAGACTTCTAACCCTTAATTTCGACCCTTTCCATGCAATGAATATCGTTGCCTTGTAGAATGCTCTTGAGAAATTCGGCTTCAAGCACTTAGTTTACAACCTTCAACGATTATCTGGTTCTTCGCTTTTCTCTTTGGCCAAAGAGTCCGTCCTTTGCTTGCAGTGCCTCTACTCTTCTTCCCAACAAATCTTCCCATGGCTCCGTCTCGATTTCCCGGAGATGAACAAACTTGTTTCTCAAGAAATCTTGTTGGGGTTTCTCGTTAAGAACAGGGAAAGCCTTAAACGGATGATCAAGGGTTTTGTGAAAGATGTGTGTGAGGTAGCGTTTCTCGAACAAAACTTGGGTCGCAAGCAATCTTCAACTAATGGTGGTCAACCCAATTTTGTAACTGCGACGAATGAGAAGGATGATGTTTTGAAGGGTAAAGTTGATTGGGAAGGCAAAACATTGTTACCGCGTTTTTCGTTAACAAATGTCGCGAACTTTAACGGCGCTATTTTCAGCGACGTTTGTGATAACGCCGCAAGTATTTTTTACGGTGCTTAAAAACACCGTTATAGGTAAAAAAACGTCGCAAAAAATCAGTTTTGCCGTAGTGGGACATCCGTTTTCAGACCAAGAAATCAATGGTTTCATTGTGGGTAAATTCGGGACTTGTGTGGAGGCAATCTGTATGGATAAGAACCCAAAGCGTTTGTTCGCCTGTGTTGTTCTAAGGTCACACTCAGACATGTCCAGGATTATTGGAGGTAAAAAACTAGTGCAACTCCCCATCAATGGCAAACAAGCCAGGGTTCGAAGATTCGTCCCTAAAACTAGTTTTGTTATGAAAACAGGTTGGCTGCAGTTATTGCAGTAAATTAGTGGTACTTAGTCTTTAAACAATGATTCATGACAAGATCAACAACATTGTTTCGTAGATTGTCTCCTATTTCATAAGTAGAAATGGTTTAGTTTATAGTTTTGTTACTTTCTTATGTTCCATATTCCGAGGTTGGTAATGCTGATTCCCTGGCTTTTGGTCTGATGGAAATGTGATATGAAACAAAACTTTAAACATTATTATCGAAGTTTCATAAACCGTTTCCTTTAGGTTTAAAATATACAAGGCAGAACATGCAGCCGAATAGCACAACTCTTGCAACATTCCCTCCTCATTCCCTGAGACTTTATCTTGATTAATTCAAATCAATTTATGTCGTACACTTAATTTTGATAGATAAGTCTCCCAATGAAAATTTTCTACTTACACAAGGCTTCAAACTAGAGACCTACTTAAGCGATATGTATCTCATTAATTCAAATTCACCATCTTATGTTAACCTCCGGAGTTGTCACCTCGGATACAAGAACCATTTATGTATAAAGCTGCTCCGGCGACTTAGTTTTTACCGGTGGAGAAGACGGGGCAATAAAAAATGAATCGTAATATAATTATGTAAATTATGAAGTAAATTAAGATATTATATAAAAATAATTAAAATATTCATGAAAATAATATATATACAATATGGATATATATAGGCTTAAAATAAAAATAATGCTTTAAACTATGCTTTCTTTTTGTTAAGCCAATATATAAACATGTAAAAATATACATAACCCAAATTATTAAAGAGTAAAGTACATAAATGGTATCCCAATTATAAGCCTTACTTTGTTAAGTCCCCGACTGTTAAAAGTTATAAGATAGTCTTTCGACTATTAGGTGCTGCTTTATTGAGTACTCTTACAATTAAAAGTTACAAAATGATCGTCTGACTATTCATATGTTCCAAACTCATTCTTTTTTGTTAAAAAATTGACTACAATATGAACTAGACGTTAACGTAATGACTAAGATATGCTAAAATTTAATCACAAAATCTCAAACGACTATCATATCTCAATCAAATGCCAACATCCAGCTCAGACGACCGTCAATTTTTTTACCAAAAGGACAAGTCTAGAACATATGAATAATCAAGTGATGATTTTATACTTTCAAGAGTCGAAGACTTAGTAAAACAATATCATATAGTCGGAAGATCAGTAATTTTTAATAGTCGAAACATTTACAAAATAACATCCTATAGTCAAGAGGCATTTGTGTAATTTACCTATTATTAAAATGTCATATCGGGCCGGGTTTGATCTTGGTTATCAATTCCAGCTTCTAGTTTAACCCATTTCCCGCTATAAATGTATAGAAAGGGTATCGGAGTGAAGAAGAAACTCCAACTGAAAGCAAAAGGACGAATGGAAGGATTGATTTTGTTTCTGGTTGCAATTGTTTCAATGGGAATGGCAATGGGTCAGGAGAATTCAAGCTGGAACGTATCAGCCATGTACGTGTTGGGTGATTCTTCAGTGGATTGTGGAGCCAACACTCTCTTTTACCCAATCTTCCATTTAAATCTCTCTTTGCTCCCTTGCAATGGCTCCAATTCCATCCTTCTTCCCTACCTTCTTGGTAAATTTCTTGCTTTCTTTCTTCTTTCTTGAAAACCCATTTCTTGAAATTTTGATTTTCCAAATCCTTGCAGCTAATAAAATGGGTTTGCCATACGCCGAGCCATTCTACACCCAGAACGGAACCATTGACGGCTTGCTGAGAGGAGTCAACTACGGTGCAGCACACGCCACGATCCTCAGCGCCAGCAGCCTTGGCCACCAGTCTCTTAACCACCAGCTGAGGCAAGTGTTCGAGACGGTTCAACTATTGCAACTTCAACTCGGTCACGAAAGCTCTCGCCGTTTCATCAGATCCTCCATATTCTACCTTTCCTTCGGCAAAGATGACTACATAGATCTCTTTCTTCGCAATTTCTCCGGCGTGATGGCTCATTACAACGACCATCTGTTTGCTGATATTCTGGTTAACGAAATGGTGCATGGCATGATGAACTTGTATGATATGAATGTGAGAAAAGTTGTGGTAATGGGGATATTGCCATTGGGATGTTCCCCAAGTTCTTTCTTCCAGTGGCGAACTGATGATGCGAATGAAATAACGGGTTGTGTTGAGGAGATAAATGAAGTGATTTTGAAGTATAACGTACTGCTCGAAGACAGCATTCTTAGGCTCAATGATGAGTTGCCCGATGCACATATTGTGTTTTGTGATCTTTACCAAGGACTCAACAAGATCATATCTTTTCCACATTTCTTCGGTATGAAACTATGAACCTTGTTTTGGATGATTATATTCATATCTTGATGAATCTGATGTTTTTTCTCTGAAAACAGGGTTTGAGGATGCAAAGAATGCTTGTTGTGGGCTTGGTTTGTATGGTGCAGAGATTGGATGCATCACTTCAGATATGGCCTGCAACCCTGTTTCATCTAATGTCTGGTGGGATTTATATAACCCAACACCACGAGTTAACTCATTGCTGGCTGAGTCAACATGGTCGGGTCAAGAACTTCTCTCCAACATTTGTCGTCCAACTACCATCCATGATCTGGTTCACATTTCTGAGCCCCATCGTCAATGATTTCTTAAACAACTGGGAATTGGCTGAGAATCCTGTCACTTTCCTGGGAAACATCAGGTCAACCATAAGCTGATGGTTCTTGATAGCAATCCCAAGTTAAAGAGAATGAAAAATATGAAACTCCATATGTTAATCTGTCGTGTAAATACTATAATTTGAAACATTCTTTTCCTTTCTGAATTTGTTCTTTTCTTACTGGAGAGATGGAGGTGATAACGATTGGTTCGAATCAAAAATTGACATGATCAAACGAATGGAATATCTTTAAGCGTTGAGTGAATCAAACCAAACCAAATGAAAATCAAGTAAAATACTAATAGTTTGAATTAAATTTCAATTTTCTTCCAAGAAACAAAGGCAAATTATCTTAAAATTCTAAACGGTGCTCGCAAACCTCAAGCACCACAGACCAACCACATAAACTATCAATTTGTCCAAAATCCATAATCTTGAAACTCAAACGACAACCTATACTTACCTCTCAGATCTTGGAAATCGGGAGCATCGTTAGGGAATCTAAATGGTGGAGAGTCGAAAGACAGAGTGAGGAGCAATATACTCGAAGATCAGCGCGGGCGAACAACGACGGGCAACTGTGAACAATGTCGAGCGGTGTACCCACGTACAAATGCAACGTGAGGTGTACCCACGTGGTTAATGAGAGCTAAGGCCTTCATGGAATAGTACGAGCATATGTCGGGCATGGTGGTTGATCGTCTGACTTTGCAAAACATGAAAAAGAAGCTTAACGAGATCTTTAGACACTATACACAAAGAATCAAAGATAGAGGGATGTGGCCGCTGAAGTACAACCACCTGTACTTGAAAGAAAAAAATCTCTTCAATATGCTTGAGTCGGCATATTATGAAAAGTTATAATTTCTGGTGAATTGATCGAATGAGCCATCAAGAAAGGAAAAGTTGATAATATTGAAGGTACTAAGAATACAACAGCTGCTAGGACAGAAAGAACATAAGCTAACGTAGTTGAAAATGATAGACACACTCCACCTAAAACACTTGTTATTGTGTTCCATCTCGGCGGATGCCCTAAGCCGGGACTAAGTGCATCTTAATTATTTTAGAAAAGTTGTAAAATTAGTCTAATATATTAATGGGAAGGGAAAAAAAAGGAAATTTACATATTCAAAAAAATTTCTTAAAAAAATATTAGAATTTTGAGCTCTCATTTTTTTAATTTTTAGATCCGATACTATTGTCGGCTATCCGAAGCCAACTCTGACTGCTCATCTAAACTTTTCTTTCTATGTGTCATAATATATGTCGAGAAATGAGCAAAAACTATCGAGGCAGAATATTAAAAAGCACCAATTCTCGTTGTACAAAAAAAGTCATCGGTTGAATGGAAATCACTTATATATTCAAACTAACCACTTTAGATATATAACATGTGCCACATTAACAATAAACGTTAAATATTAGTCAACTAAATATTTTTTAATCACTGAAGCATTAAAATTAAATTATTTTAAAAATAAAAATAATTATTTAATCAAACGTTAAACTCTGGTTGAGATTACATATATTTTTAATAATCGAACTTTGTCCAACCATATCTTGAGCAGTAATTGAGAACTTGTAATTGTAAATTTAGAATGTATCTCAAAGCTTCCACTCCTAATCTTTTAAATGATTGGACACATTTGCTAAATTCATCATGGAAGCAGCAAAGAAATAATAATAGAAAGTACAGACAAAGAAAGAGATGAACTGTCTCGCGGTTGCCATTTCATCTGGCACTTTTTGTAATAAAAGCTTCACAACGTTTCTCATTCTTCATAATATTTTCATTTCCTTCACTTGTCTCTGCAAAAGAAGAGAAATGTACAAGTCGAAGTTGCAGGAGCTTTGCCAGCAAAGGCAATGGGAATTGCCAAGGTACAGCTCCATGAAAGTGGCCCTCGTCATAATCCTTGCTTCAAATCCTCTGTCTCCTCAACGGCTCCTGGTTTCACTCCTCGGTCCCTTGCAAATCTTGTAAACATGCTCAAAACGACGCCGCTAAGTCCGCTTTCCTTCACTTCACTTCTTCTTCTGCTGCAAACGCAAATCCTGTTCACGAGGTATCCATGTGTTCTTCCCTTTTTATTTCAGGGTCCAGATTAACAAAATGGGTTTTCTTTTTAGCAGGCTGAGTCGGGAATGTACAAGAATCTGTTGCAAGAGTTAACTCAGAGAGAAGAATGGAGTTTACCAGATTATAAGACGACTCAATGTGGTGAGCCTCATAGGCCTACGTTTTTCTCCACCGTCCAAGTGGAAGGACGCCTTTTTCATGGGAAAGGAGGGAAATCCAAAAAGGAAGCTGAGATCAACGCTGCTAAACTTGCTTATACCAATCTAACTCAGCATAAATCATTCTCGTCTCTTTTCTAAGTTTATCTCGTTTTGATTATTTTTTCATTTCGAATTCGTTTAACGTTGTGTGAAGTCTACTTCATGAAGAATATGGTGGCGAAATTAAACATGGCGCCTTCCATAATCCTTTAATTCTTCATTTTGGAACATTTTCTTTATTGTATTAGCTAGCTGGAGCTCATATTTAATCAATATTTTGCCTTGTAGAAGAATTACAAGTAGGAGGAAAAGACTTGGCAAATTCCACTTCCAGTATTTATAACTCTGATTCTTGCTCTAAATCTGTGCCTGTCTCACTCAAACAAGGTCGTTAATGTTACTATTAATGTCCTTAATGACTGATGTTCTTTTAAGATCAAAACTATTATGACATTCCGGCATTTAAATAGCAGTTGGTTCTCAAAATAGTGGACGTTATATAGCAGTAACGGTACTATTTGAAACCGTTATTGCATGACCGCGATACTTACTACTATCTATCTCCTGCTGATTATTTTTCCCATTTCAGGCTTCCAGGGGGAAACTCTCAAATCTGCTTCCGGTTCAGACTTAACCGCTGCTGTAGAAAATGAAGAACATGCTGAAGAAGGTAAATATTTTCACCTTGCTCCAATATTCTATTTCTTCGTTTTCAAAGCACATTTTTTTTACTTAGATACCTTAAATCCATACTTGTGGCTTATTGTTGCCTGGTAGATGGAGTGCAAGAAGTGAAAACAGGAGAAAAAGAGGGCTCGAATTCGATATCTTGTGAACCAGCATAGGTTGACATCTCCGATCTTTCGATTTCGGACTCGAATTCGGAGAAATTTCCAGGATCGAGGAGTTATTTACTCAACAAAAGGTTCAGAGTTTATCCATGTTACCCTGACATTGCATTCCCACAAGGCATCACTGTGCTGCCCATCAGTGAGGATAAATGGGTGGCTGTGAGCTTGTAATTCCCAAATGAAACAGATGATTGATCCATCTCTTGTAGGTGCTTGTTAGACGTTTGTACTACTTTTTTTGCTATGAATTTTCTTTAGTATGATGATTTCAATGGCTATGAAGAATATGTTTTTACTCTTCACGTTGCTGAAACTTTAAAGTATTCTAGTGCTTTTACCCTAAATTCTAGTATAATTTAAGTAACTTTTTATATATTTTTATTGATAATGTATTTTCGTCTCTCTTAAAACTTTATATATTTATCCCGATATAAAATTTTGCGTCCGTTTTCTTATCATAATGCATGTCTTCTTTTATATACCCCTATAACTGTACATCCAACGCACTGGTTGTTGTCTCGACCAGACTCCCAAAAAGAGCCTAGGATCAAATTTGTTATCGACTGGCCTTTAGTTTTGCCCAATTGATGTCTAAACAAACTTCAGAGTTGCACATGCAACATTTTTTCCAGAAATTACTCGATTAGAAGAGCCTTGTTCATCTGTACTGAAAGGATACTTTTATGCGGATGGACCGAGAAGGGTGGATGGGAGAAATCCCCCATATTGAAAATTTAACATTATTATATATTTTAAAAAAATATATATTTTCTATTGAAAATATATTTTTACACTTGTAATTTTATAAGTTCGTAGTTTCTTAAAATTTAAAAAATTTACTCCTAATATAAAATAATGTGTCCGATACTACTGTTAAAGGTAGCCATGAATGATCCTTGAGGGTTTGAATTTGCCAAGTCTGAAATTTATGACTAAAGTTCCATCAAATGAACTGTATTTGGGTCTGAAATTTATTAGATGTATATTGGTCGACTATTTTCAAATCCATTTTTCTTAAACACTTAAGGTCACATTTCTTTTTTTGGATAAATAAAAGAATATTATTACCAAAAGGGAGTAGGAAACTGCTACAGAACAGACATCAAAACAGATACATATACAGTATAGGCATCAAAACAGTTTCAGACATCAAAACAACCAAAGTGGAGCATGAACATCCAACATTAAAGTTAGTCAATACCCCATTGGATACAAATAGAGATATTAACTCTATCTATTCTATTGATTATCCTATCTCTTAGTTGAATTCAAACAAACTCCTTAATAGCTTTAAGGATTTCATCAACAGTTCTTGAGCTTCTTCGGAATAGTCTTTTGTTTCTTTTTTCTCAAAGAGAATAAATAAATACAGTCCATGCAAGCTTCAGAATATTTATTAGGAGGGAGTTACTTGTCAGGAACCACATGCCCAGGACATTTGATGATCCCAGGACAATGAAGATTTCCGCAAGCCGGTTAGTAGTAAGATTTCCTTCCATAGAGAGCTTGCTAGTGGGCATTCCATGAACAAGTGATCTCTTGTTTCCTGTGCTTCTTTACATAAAACACATAAACCATCAGTAGCAATACCCATATGTTGTAATCTAACTTTAGTAGGAAGTTTGTCCAAAATAACCATCCAAGAGATCATGCTGTGTTTAGGAATGTGGAGGGGAAACCAAATCAGATTACTCTAGTGAACTTTGTCTCTCTTAACCCTAGTCTCTTCCCAAATTGCACGGACAAATGTTGCTCAGGTTGAGAAAACAACGTTGGCTTCACTCCTTAGTTTTAGTAATTTTCTGAAGGTCCTGCTGGTATTAGTGCCACTATCAATGTGCCAGAAGTCTTTATCGTTGT